AGGAGCAGCTGGTGGATTCCAACTGCTGACCTTCTGGTTAGCAGTTGTGTGCTTTAACCACTGTGCCACTGGGCTCCTAAACATATAACCCAGGATAATGGTATTTTTTCCCTCCTTTAACATTCTCTCCCATTTTTAGTCTTCAAATAAACATATATGTTGTCTTTTGTGATTGCTTTACATGTAATTGTTTATTGCCTGAAATTGTTCTCTTATTTCCCCAAATATATTTTGCTTGTGTCTCAACCATATTAGAAGCTAATAAAGGATGGGAGACCAGATATTACCTCTTCGTAACTATACAGAGAAGGCCTAATAAGATACTAACTAAATTTCAGGAGATAAAGAAATACTTACTAATATTTATTGGGAGTCAAAATCTAATTGCATTTATTAAGTTATTCTCGCAGGCTCTCACCTACATGTTACAAAGATGAGTAACAGTTTTTACCAGGGTTTCTCAACATTTTGGGCTGGATAATCTTTGCTGTAGGGAACTGTCCTGTGCTTTGTAAGATGCTTAGCATCACCTTACCTCTGCTAACCTGAAGCCAGTAGCACCCCCCCATCTCAAGTTGTGACAACTAAAAATGTCTCCAGATATTGCCGAACGTCCTCTGAGGTCAGCTGACCAAGTATCCTGGTGTGCCTGGGATTAAGGGAGTTCCTAGGACACAGCACTTTTCAGTTTTAAAATTGGGACAGTTCCAGGCAAACCAGGATGTGTTGGTCACCCTACTTGGGAGGCAAAATTGCCCTTGGTGAGAACCACCAAGCTGTAGGGACAGAGAACCATTTACATAATGAATTCCAAAGGCCATAAGTGGAGTACACACGGTCCATAATCATGGATGAACACACATTCAGTATTCTTGGAACCTAATGAACAAAATCCTCTTTTTGGTTGGGGTGGGAGGGATTGGGAAAGGCTTTAAAGAAAGGGGCCCTGGTGGCATAGTGGTTAAGAGCTCGGCTGCTAACCAAAAGATTGGCAGTTCAAATCCACCAGCATTTCAACTGGTGCTTAAAAGCTTGAGGAGGATTTAATGGGTGAAGACAAGCAATCCAATTGGGAGAAACTGTACAAGC